ATTCCCAAGTTTCTAGAAGAATCCAAACCTGGGCCCAGACAGGTTGAGAATCCAAGCTCCATTTGCAAATATTTATGAAGGGTTGAGAAAAGACCTAGACATGGAGCACCGGCTTTGCCCTTATAGGGCTCCTATGATGTGGACATCCTTTGAAACTATGGACAGCACACGGTCTAAGTTCAACCCTATCCCACAGCTGAGCAAGCAGGTGCTCAGAGGTGAGTGGTGTTGCTGAGGTCACATGACATGGCTAATGGTGTTGGGGACCCCAACCACTATGCTGTCTTCACAACCCCATCCCCTTTCCACAGGATCCTTTGCAAACTCTGCCAACAGGGTCTAGAGTCTCCAATTCTTTAATCCTCAAGCGAGAGCCCTCCCTTCTCCTCTGCCTGAGCCTCACCACCTCTTGGCTTCCTACATCAGTGACATTTCCTCAGCGGCTCCTATGCGGCCTGCCCACCTGTCTTCTTCCATGAGGGGCATCTGGGAACCTGGGTAGAGAATGGCTCCAAGAAGTGACTGGCCTTTGGGAAACAAAAGACCCACATTGGATCATCCCGTTTGCGTCCCAGCCTGAGTCTGGGATGCCAGGCAGCACCGGGTGCAGTGCTGACAGACAGGCAGCCACACAGGGAAAATCACTTGGCACTGTTAATTCAATTAAATGAATAAGCACTGACCCGCTAGCCCACAGGACCCAGGCCTGGGAAGAAAAGGGCCAGCAGGATCCCTCGGTCCTGACTGGTTCCTGAGAGCCTGAGAAGGGTATCCTCCTGGGAATGCTTGCTGCTCAGGGCCCCTGGGGTGCCAGAGCCAGGATGTAGGCTGGTGACAGCATGTACCAGCCACAGTTCAGTGTTAAGGAGACACCTGTAATGCTGCCCAAAGTCACCCTTCCTCAAAGAGCACAGCCCTGGAGCTGGGGGGACTGGCTGAAAAGGAAGATGAAATTATAGGAGCCATAGTGGGGGTCGGGGTTGTTGGCTCTGCTCAGGACTCCCACTGCCGCAGCTCCACAATGCCCTGACTTACCAGGTTGAACAGGGAGAGACAGGCAGGGGACCAGCAGTGGCTGTGAGAATACCTCCAAACACCCAAGCCAACGGAGGTAGCTTTCTTCTCCCTCGAAAACTGCTGAGGGCTGGAAACAGAGACCTCCACACCCACCAAACATGCTCCCAGCAGGAGAAGCAGGGGACAGGGCTCTACTCAGTGCAGAAGGCTCTAGGAGCATGCCGCACCAAAGGGGCACATCCTTCTCCTTGTGGCCACCTATGTCCAGGTAGCTCTTCATACAGGGACTAGAGGAGGGTTGGATATTGGTTCAAAGGAGTGTCAGGGGAGTGTGGGAGGTGGCGATCACAAATCCTAACATACCTGTGGTGTACACAGGTGCCAGGGCACACCTGGCCTCACATCCTGGGTTAGTCACTTAGTGGCTATGTGACTGTGGGCAAGTTATTCAACCTTTATGAGCAGCATCCTCACCTAGAAAATACCCTCTGACCTCATAGAGTCCTCAAGAGAAGTTAGAAACCCATTTCCTCTCTTCTTTTGGAAACTTGATATTCAATGTCATATACCAAATTTAGAGACAAGAACACAGGAAAAAAACAGGTATTTCCAAATCTTAGGTCCTCCCCAGCTGCAAGTTCTAAAAGGAAGTAGCCTGCAGCTTCTACCCTTCCTGGGACCTGCAGATTCTCTCCTGTGTGGTGATGTAGAGGGTGTTCCCTCCATCTACAACATGGATAGTGCCCATGTGGGGAAATCATCACCCCTGCTTTTAGACAGCCCCTCAGAGGTCATGAAATCCTTTCTGCCTCACAACAAACCCATGCAGGGGCCACAAGCCCTGAGTCACTGTCCTCAGAGAGTATGGACACTCAACAAAGAAATAGGAACTTCCCAAATCAATACCACTGGTAAGTAGAGGGCAGGACTAAACCCAGGTTTGGAGACTGCCCTTATAGCATCCTTTTTTTTTAAGCTTTAAAATATTTTTTATTAAAGAACTATAACCAAATAGGAACACTTCCAATAATAGTATTATAGAAAGAATAGCAAGTTTTCTCCATTTATTTCTTATTCCCAATTATACTTCCTTGTTACTATTTTAACTCTCCCTATTTAATTCTGGTGATTTTATAACATTTTATAATTTTGGAAAGTATGCTTGATTCATTGATTTGATTTATTAAATTTGTCAATTTGCATGTTGTTTCCTTGAGAAGAAAAATTAGGACTTACCACACACTACTGCCATCCTCCTCCTCCTCTCCTCTTCATGTTTGATGCTTATCCAATAGCACTTTCTAACACAGTGGGGATTATAAGCTGGGTTGGGCAGCCTGAGAGGATATACTGAGGAGGATACTCAGGCTGCAGTCGGCTCAGAGTTTGAGTGCCTGACTGATTAGTGATGTCTGCTCCTGGAACAGTGGGTATGGGGAGCATGAGTGTGGGCACCTGTCTGTCATACTGGGCTGGCCACCACCTCCCTTAACATGCCTGGGAGAGAGAAAAGGCACGTATGAGTCAGATTCACAAAGTTTCAGAGAGCATTTGCTTCTCTCCCCTCTTGCAGTTGAGGCACTCAAGTGATCCCACCCACTGAGCAAGTATCATTGAGGACAACAGGGTCAAATGCTGGTGAGGGAGACAGTGGGTGTAGATAAAACCCCTTGTCCTCATGAAGTGCCCGGCCCCTACACACTTCCTGTCTGGTGACCCTGAGACCCTGACTATAGGTCGGCACGAAGGAAGCCTGTGATAACTGATGTGGGAACAAGGGCAGGGCTGCCAACTCCCAGGTAACATCTGATTTTCCTAAATTTCCTAGGGCAGCTGCCTCCGCGGATCTGAAGAGCAAGAAGGGATTTCTCTCCAGGGATCCTCAGCAGCAAGATGGGAGGTGGGGGGTGAGGTCACACTCAGCACCATATGAAAAGCTGAGAGGAAAAAGGATTCACACATTTGCTTCCCAGGAGGACAATGCTCTCATAAAAGAACAGTCAGCAAAGGAGAAAGAGCAAGTGTCCTAGAAGCTGGGCACAAATGCACTCAGTGTAAGTGGCCTGGGCAGAAGCAAAGCCCACATCCAGTTAGGGAGGCCAAAGCCTGGCACTTCTCCGGTGTCCCTAAACTTGGGGCAGGGGTGAACCAGGTGCAGGGCCCTGTTGTTGCTCCAGGAAATGAGATCTGAAACCCCAGGTTCTGGCCATTGGACAGTTGGGTGTGGAGGTCCTGGGAGGGGCTGGGGACCCACTCCTGCCTTTCACGTGCTGGCTGGCACGGCTCTTTCCATAAATTGTGCCCTTTTGGGTACCCAGGCACCCAGGAAGGTGGGCCTATGTTCCCATCCTGCTGTAAAAAGGAGGAACAGGCCCAGAGAGGAGGAGCAAGCATGGTTCAGGGTACACAGCAGGTGAGTTCACGGCGATGCTGGCCTTGGATCTCTGTGTCGGCCTGGCTTCAGGCTCTGGTCAAGCACAGAGGGTGGACTGGAGGCGATACCTCTCTCCTCCTTGGCCCTTCCTGGTTCAGGACCACCAGGAGAAATCTTACCAAGCCCCTCACTCATGGTCAAGCCTGATGACACTCTGAGCATGTGGGAGCTTTCTGCTCAGCACTGAGGTACCACTTCCCAAAGAGGAGCGGGGAAGATAGATCTGAGAGTGGCCTGCCCACCAGCCCAGGCAGGAGGAGGAGAAGAAACCCTGATGCGGGAAGGTTAGGCCTCAGTAATGAACACCCAGCACATGATCTGAAGGAAGAAGTGGCTCTCAGTGGCGACTACAGTCAGATTTGCTGCCAGCCATGTCCTGCCTGGGTCATACAGCTTCTGTCCCTGCACAGGACCCCAGAGGTAGATCAGCTTCCCTCGCCGTGGTGCTACTTCTGACAACAGATGCTCACGCCTGTGTGGGGCGCTGGCCTCCTGATTTATACAAGTATGCTCTCTCACTAAGTGCTAACCACCCAGGATGGCACCTGCCTTGCACCTACCTGGGCCTCTCCCAGAAGGGTTAGAGGCCACCAGGGCGGGCTGTGTCCATGCATTCTTAGCCCTTCTGTTCTTTACCTCTTATCAATGATGTGCAGGGAGATAAAGACCAGGGGTCACTGTCAGGGAGGGAGGGAGGGTGGAGGAGGAGGAAGGAGGATCCTCTTAGCTGAAGACAAGTCAGGTTCATAAACTGCATGTACCTCCCTTTTTTTCCTTTTAAATCTGATCATATGGGTTTCCCGTTTTTTAACTACAAGTTTGTGTTACACCACTTTACTTTTACCAAAGACCTATGTTAGTACCTGTTTTCAGTAACCAAAATAAATCCAAAGATTTTCACTTTTACAGATAGTAATGCCTTCTTCATTTTGCACTATTTCAGTTTATAAAAGTTTACTTATTTATTTTGAGATAGAGAACATGAACAGGGGAGGATCAGAGACAGAGAGAATCCTGTCAGCAGAGCCCAATGCAGGGCTCGAAAGCATAACTGTGAGATCATGACCTGAGACAAAATCAAGAGCTGGATGCTCAACTGGCTGAGCCACCCAGGTGCCCCAGTTTACAAAAGATTTCATAGGAACACCCTATCTTTGGATAGCAGGGAAAACCTGGAACTGTTTTTAATGAAAGAATACTCAGAAGGAACCATGTAGTTCCAGGCAGACAAAATGACATCCTCCTTCTCACCAGTCTCCTCAGACCCTAGGCTGACAAGGGTGTGAGGAAAAGAAGGGGTGCCCTGGATACAACCTGCCATGATGGAAAAAGAGGCAGCCAAGTGAGGTGCTACCTGTAACTCCACCCTGATGCCCTGCACATGGGATTGAGTTTTACCCTGCCAGCGTCAAAGACCCTAAGAGGTAACACATTTCCTGTGTTAGGCTGAATGGCAGGCACAGTCTGCCAAGGATGAGAAAGGTGCCCTGAATACCCCCTGCCTGGTGGGACAGGCTGGCAAAACCAGACCATCCCCAGTCCCGCTCACCTCTCCCTTCTTCACAGTCATGGACTGGCGGCGGGGCGTGATCTCCTCATTGATGCTGGACAAGAAGTTCTGTGAGATACGTAGGGCATCCTGCAACAGAGGGTGGTCGGGGTGGCTGGAGGGTGTGTGCTTCAGCAAGTCCTGTGTCGGGCAAAGAGAGGACTCAAATCAGAGAGCGTACAGCCCAGGCCCCACCACTGTGTCTAAACTGTAGACACATGCTGGGAAGACCCAGGGGCACCAGCTTGCCAAGTGTCACCACCACTGGTGGGTCTATGTGGGCAGTGCTTGCATGAGCACCACCCCACAAGCAGGTCCTAAACCTAGACGGTGTTCCTACAAGTCCATGCTGTGTGCACACTGCTGACAAGGGCTTCTACTCTCAGGGGCTACAGTGGGATTTCTCCAGCTTCAGCCCCGATGACATTCTGGGCTGGATCACTCCTTGTGGTGGGGGCTGTCCTGTGCACTGTAGGATGTCAGCCCCCCATCCCTGTCCTCTATCCACTAGATGCAAGCAGTCCTCTTCCTTCTCAGCTGTGACAAGCAACAATGTCTCCGACATGCCCCTAGGGGGCAGAATCGATCTTCTCTAGGACCACTGGTCTATGCAAGCTGAGGAGAAAAGCACCTGGCCTTTCGGGCGGCTCCCTCTTTAGGAAAGAGACTAAACCTCTCAAATAAGATAAAAACAAGAGAGAGAGGCAAACCATAAGAGACTCTTAAATACAGAATACAAACTAAGGGTTGCTGGAGGGGAGGGGAGTGGGAGAAATGGGATAAATGGGTGATGGGTACTAAGGAGGGCACTTGTTGGGATGAGCACTGGGTGTTACACGTAAGTGATGAATCACTGAATTCCACTCCTGAAACCATTATTACACTATATGTTAACTAACTTAGATTTAAATTAAAAAAAAAGAAAAAAAAGAATTGAGATGGCAGTGTTCACTCCTTCTCTACTAGGAATGCATATAATTTGTACTCAAGGTCAACAGCTCCCTTGTTCAGAGAAACGAACTCCCCTTAGCTCTCAAATTCCCCCTGGAGAGAACAAAGTGAAACAAGTCTGGAGGAAGGCCCTGGTGTCAGTGCTACATGGCTTAAACACTACAGGGCAGAGCTGTCTGGGCTGAAGTAGGACAATCTCCACTGTGTCCCTTTTTTAAGGGGGGGGGAAAGGCAAAGTGGAATGATACGTACACCATGATGCCTTTTGTGTAATTAAAAAAAAAGTTCACGTATGTTGGCATGTGCATAAAAGAATCCTTGCAGTGGTGAATCATTTGTGGGGAGGGGCAGGAAAAGAAATGGAAACCTCACACACTTCTGTGACTTGGTTGTAAATTAAAAAAAACAAACATGCATGTACAGCTTCCTCTAAACATAAATGAATAGGGCCACCTGGACAGTAGCATTAGGAGCCATTTTTGTTTCCCCCAGTGCCTTCAGGAGCAGTCCCACTGAGGCATGCCCCCCCTATGCTCCCTCTCCCCAGGATGTGGGGCAGTGGTCATCCTCACTGGCCTGGAATGCACCTGCTGTCTGTGCCCCCACCCCATCTACCTTAGAGGGTTGGTTCATGCACTGGGACCAGGAGGCCCCTCCTATGTGGGACAGGACGCTCCCTCCCTGCATCTCCTCCACGAGAGCACCCAGGACAGCTCGAGAACCTGCTTTCTTCCCCACTGTGCGCTCCTCATTTCTGCATCTTCAATAAAAGTGTGTAGCAGGAAAATGGGGGATAGCTGGGCAGCACTGACAAACATCAGTGTCAGCCCCAGAACAACAGAAGCCAAGAACCCCAGGGTGAGAAGATCCCAGGTGAAGTGACTCACATGCAGGACCAGCGTGCTGCGCGTCACCCGGTCCACAGGCTTGTAGAGCAGGGCTGCAGAGAGACGGGCAGGGCAGGTGAGAGGTGGCCAGGCACAGAGAAAGCAGCACCAGACCACTTGCTGTTAAGTCCTCCGGCAGGGAGCAGCCCGACCTCCACATCCCCTGGGAACTACCCATCCCCGGTGACCAGGACAAACCCTAACCCCCAAGAAGGCTGGGCACGTGGCTTTGAGGTTTTGGTCCGCAACAGGTTTTGGTCCTTGGCAAACCCCACTTCTCCATGACGATGGCAAGCCCAGCCCATCACGGGTGTGAATGCTTAGATGTGTTCTGACACATGTCAGGTGCATTTCCACATGTGATTCCCACAACTACTCTAAGATACGCATTGTTATCTGCGTTTTCCAGATGAGAAACTGAGACTCAGAGCACGGTGAAGGTCTGGTACTGGAGCCACGTCTGCTGTTCTCTGTAACTATTCATGCTGTCCTAACAACCGGAACTGAGAAGTGACTTATCAGTCCTGATCTCTTGCTTTCTGCCCAGAGTGAAGAAGGAGGCTGAACACACAGGCCCAGGAGCCTGATGTCTCTGGCTTTACCCCTGCCTGGACACTTAGGACCTGTGTTCCATATGGGTTACTTTCATTCTAAATATGTTTTGTCATCTGAAAAAAGGGAAAACAAAATCCTCCTCACAGGGTCACTAGGGAGAACACAATGACATTTTATTTATTTATTTTTTTTTTAATTTTTTTTAATGTTTTTTATTTATTTCTAGGAGAGAGAGACAGAGAGAGAGAGAGAGAGAGCGTGAGCAGGGGAGGGTCAGAGAGAGAGGGAGTCACAGACTCAGAAACAGGCTCCAGGCTCCGAGCTGGCAGTCAGCACAGAGCCCGATGCGGGGCCCGAACCCACGAACCGCGAGATCATGACCTAAGCGAAAGTCGGACACTTAACCGACTAAGCCACCCAGGCTCCCCCACAATGACATTTTAAATGCCCAGCAGTGCCTGACTGGTGGGCATCTGTCTGCAAAACCCTCCCATTCTTCCTGGTTGCTAATGCTGGTGGCAAGCTGGTCCTGTCTGTGTCTTTCCCCAACCCGCCATATCCAGTGCCACTTTTTCCACATCCCTGCTCTCGCTATTGGGTCAGGAACAGCAAAGGCACCAGAGGTAACCCAACTGAGTGCCATGTTTGCTTTTCCAGCAAGTGCCCTATTCGTTCGCAGCAGCTGCCCCCACAGGGAACACAAGGAGGCCTCAGAACAGAGAACTTACTTTCCAAAGAGTTCTTGGTCGTCTGGTCCTTGGCATCCTTGTTGCTTCTGGCTCTCAGGTTCTGCAAAGAGAAAAGCACATTTTCACACAGGACAACTGAGGCGGCTTTGATGTGGCAGGACATTACATGGCCAGAAACCTTTAGCAAGAAAACTCACCCTTCACTCACAGCAAAAAATCTTAGTTGAGGCAAGCCTTAACGCGGTGTCCTGGACCACAGCATGAATACAGGGTGGGCAGAACACAAGGCATACTCTGGGTGCTGTGTTCACCTGGAACTGTCGATATTTGGGAATGGAAGCTCTCTTACTGTGGGGACCTGTCCTGTGCACTGCAGGCCGAGTGGCATCCCTGGCCTCTATCTATGGGTGCAGCAGCACACCTTCCTTCTGCTGTGACAACCAAAAACCCCCAGGCATTGCTAAGTTGTCTCTTAGGGACAAAGACAACCCCTGGTCAACAGCCTCTGACATACAGAATCCTATAAAAACAAGGCAAACCACAGTGCCTCCCTAAATGCATTTTCTCAGAGAAGTTAAACAGTGGGCAAGGGGCCCAAGGGGTTGGAGGAGCAGTCACCTTTGGAAATGGCCAGGGCAGCCCCACCACCACTGAGAGCCACAATGGATTCCACCTCCTCCCCATCCTCTCCTGACTTTGCAGATACACAGGCATACCTCAGAGTACCACGAGTATGGTTCTGGACCATTGCAATAAGGCGAATACTGCAAAAAAGTGAACCCAGTGAATTTTTGTTTTGTTTTCTAGTGCATATAAAATCTATGTTTATAGTACACTGTAGTCTATTAACTGTTCGACAGCATCGTGTCTACAATGTACATACCTTCGTTAAAAAAATGCTTCATTGGTGAAGAATGTTAATCATCAACTAAGCTTTCAGCAAATCATAATCAATGATCACAGATCATAAGAAATATAATAATGGATAAGCTTAAAATAGCATGAGAATTACCAAAATGTGACACAGTGAGCAAATGCTGTTAGGAAAATGGCACTGACAGATTTCCTCAGCACAGGGATGCCACAAACCTTCAATGTGTAAAAACCACAGGATCTGCAAAGTGCGTTAAAGCAAGGTATGCCCATAGTTGTTAACAAATAGATGCTACGATCCCCAAGAGGAGAGCAGAGATTTTCAGTGTGTAGGTCATGCTTTCACACAACTGCATCAAAGGCATCACTGATTTGGTCCAAGGTACCAAGAGAAGCCAGAATATAAGATCCCTGGGTACCTGAAATCATCTCTGGAAAGAAGCTATGGTTAATCCCATTACTAGGCTGTGAATAACAACAAAAAACAGCACAGGGAGAGAAAGGGGCTCAGACATGGCTCTCTCAACTTACTGTGCTGCTGTAAACCTCTCAAGACTAAAAACGATGGTATTTTAAGCTCCCTGGGACCAAACTCCACAATGCTCTTTGGCACCTCTCTTGAAAGGTTAACACACCTCACGGTGATTATTCCTCTGAACATCTGCCTCAGCAGTTCCAAAAGGCTGTGGGGGGTATGAGGGCGTGTAAGAGCTGAACCTGAGCCTCTGTAAAAATCAGGTTCCGTGCTCACGTGCACCTGGGAGGCAGCCTTCACGCCACGTGCCCCTGGACAGCCCCCCGCACATAAGCATGCAGAGCTCCATAAATCCTGTCTCAAGAAAACTTATGAATTTGGCTTAAGGCCCCAGGTCTCCCAACTTAACTTGACCCAGAGGCCCTTTTCCCAGAACTCCATCGTGTGGGAGCTGGCATTTCATGAAACCCAGCTTAGGCAACTCTGGTCTAACTGGACACTGCCCTGACTCACTTTCAGGACTGGGAGGAGATAAGGAACCACGGCTCCATGGCTCCCTCTCCTGACGGTGACTATCCAGGTCCCATGTCTGAGCTCTGAATCCCAGAGTGAACCTCTACACCGCCTGCTGCTTCTGTTCCCTTTGGCTCCATTTTGCTGTCTGGGTGATTCCAATCTCTCTGGGTCTCTTTTAAAAATATAGTTAGAGGGGCGCCTGAGTGGCTCAGTTGGTTAAGCATCTGACTTCGGCTCAGGTCATGATCTCATGGTTCGTGTGTTCGAGCCCTGTGTCGGGCTCTGTGCTGACAGTTAGCTCAGAGCCTGGAGCCTGCTTTGGAGTCTGTGTCTCCCTCTCTCTCTGACCCTCCCCTGCTCACGCTGTCTCTATCTCTCTCTCAAAAATAAACAGAACATTAAAAAAAAAATAAAAAATAAAAATAAAAATATAGTTAGAGAACCAAAGCAGATGCTGCCTCCAAAGTACAAGCTTCACCAAAGGCCAGCTTCCAGCTGGCCCCAAGATGCTGTCTCCCTCCCAGCATCTCTGCCTCAGTTCAGATTCCCGCTTGTGTATGGTCAGTGGGACCATGTGACCCCAGGTTGGTGTCCCACCATGCTTCCACCCTCCTCTTATAGAAGCCTGTCTGGGTGGACTTGAACTTGGCTCCATTTAACTGGAGCCTGCTCTTAAAGGATTAGGTCTCTAATTGGTCAAAGTCACTCGGGATTCTGTGCCAGCACTGTATCTGTCAGGGATGGGAGTGGAGGGGTTCACTAAGGGAATGACCTAAAGAAAGATATGGCCTAAATGACAGGGAGGGACATCTGGAGCCAGCCTGGAACCTGGGTCCATGCAGCTTGTTACCAGCAGCACCAGGCAGGGAGTGGATGGACCCACAGGCTCTGGAGGAACAGCATGGCACCCATTACCACCAGAAGAGATGATCAGTACCCACAACATGACACCTCTCATGATAAATTACAAAATGGCACAAAGCTCCCGGAACAAAGCCAGGTATGAGAGGGTATGACTGTCTCTCAGCAAGTGACCCCACTCACTCCATATTTCTAGTTTCCATTTATTTTTCTTATGCTAATTTCTCCCTTGGAGTCTTTCCATCTAGAATCCTTGTTTAGTGGAGGGAAGGCAAGTCAGAGCTCTGAGGAGCTGGAGGCACTGCAAGTGATGACAGGCCCAGAAAGAGGAAATGTCACCCAACTGCATAGGGTAGAAACAGGATGTGGAAGGTGGGGAAAACCCCCGCTGGGAACCCGGGGAGGAAGGTGCTATAGGTCCTGGTCCAGGAATGGCCACCAGCCCCGACAGGCCGCTCATCCTCTATATCTGGGGAGCTCTTTTGAGGCCCCTCATGCTAACACTGGGGGCTTGAGGTTTCAGTCCTCCAGGAGCTCCAGCCTGGAGCTTTCTGCCCACAAGGGTCTAGAGAGAGCAGCTATACCAGCCCCACACACCCGTGCTAGCTGGTCAGCTTCCCTGGGGAGCAAGGTCACCAACAGGCTGCAGGAGAAACAGAGCACGACACACCTCCCCACCTGCTCTCTAGTGACCAGGTGCATAGTTGGCCTTGGGACTTTCATGTCCAGACCTCTGCTCATGAGACAGAACTAAAGATATTCCTTACTGCACACAGATGGTACACGACAGCATCTGACTGGGGGACTCGGCAGAGCCCCAGAATTGAGTCCTGGACCTTGGAGAGGTAGGGAACTCATGGGGCTGCTCCTCCTATCTGTTCACAACAGTGTCCCCCACACAGAGCTGACAGAGCCAACCCAGAAGCATCTGGAAACTGAGCTGAGATTTACAACCAGAACTTGGTATTGTGCACCCAGTTCTCCTGGGTCATGGTGTACCAACGACAAGCCCACATCCTACCCGTGGGAGGCGGAGGGGTGCACCTGTCTGAACAGTGTCACGAGTACCTCAGAGATTTCTGCAAACTGAGCATTGGCCTGACAGCACTTCTCAGCCGTTTCCATGGCAACTCCGTAGTTATCTACAAAGGCCCGGTACACACCCAGCTGGCTGGCCTGTAGGAAGAAAGGAAGAGAGTGTGGGACAGGTGCAGGACAGGTACTGCTGTTCTCCATCTTTCTGAGAAATGGGTTTCCACGCACAGCTCTGCAGAAACCCCAGCTGCAGCAGGCAGCACAGAGCTGCAGACACCTCCACTCTTCCCTGCTACTGCATCCCACCTGCTTCCCCCCAGCCCCCATGCACTAAGCATGCTCTCCTTTACCCAAGTGACACTTTGAGAAGTGACTCACTGCCCCAGGCAGGTAACATGTTGTTTCCTTCCACAGCTGCTTTTCCTCCCACCTCACTCATTTCAATAGTGCCACCAGCAGTGGCTAAAATTTGAGGCTGTCAGTGAATCCAGATAAGAGTCTAACACAGGTAGGATGGAGTGGCACCTTTTCGTTCTGGTTGCAGGAGACTACAGTGGACAAGGAGGTCGGCCCCCCAGCCTATGGTGGCCACGGTGTTCTGCTCATGTCTGATCCCTTCAGACACAATAGGAACACGCAATCTAGCTGCCCTTGGAGAAGAGGAGTGCCTGCTGTCCAGACATGAGCCCAGCTTAAACCTGGTAAGGGGGTCCAGGTATTAGAATCCACATCTGTGTGCAGGAGATCTGCTGGCTGCCAGCTGCAAGGCGAGAGGCTTTTTATTTGTCTTGTATCAAACCAAAGGCATTAACAGAGAGTCTTTTCACTTAGCCTTCTGGTCAGATACTCAATAAAGCGACAGCTTCCAAGGGCGTGTGTGTGTGTGTGTGTGTGTGTGTGTGTGTGTGCAGGAGCACACACGTGTATGTGTGCACATGTGGGCCCTAGGTCACCTTCAGATGCAGCCAAGGGGAAACCAGCCCCCATCTTGTACCAGCAAAGCCAAGCTTGGAGAGGGTAATGGAGAACACTGGTGACCCCCTGGCCAGGCATTCCCATTGCAGCCAACCAGGGGCTGGAAGCCTAAAGCTTTAGCTGATCCTGGTGTTCATTCTGTGCTGAATCTAAATTTTATTTCTATATGCCATTTGCATTTATATTGAATTTTATGTTTCTTCAGATGACAAACCCAGATGCTGGGTAAGCAGGCACCCTTGGCACTGTCTGGTCTCTGGCTCCACTCACTGTGGGGGCTGCACGGAGGCCCTGGCCGGGCCCTTGCTGTGCTGATCACACCCTGACCAGTCACTGTATCCTCAAACGCCAATAAGTACGTCAGACCCAGAGCATTTCCTTCTCTCCCTCCGCCACAGGTCATTGAGCACCTCCCCCAGTAAAGACTTGCTTTAGGCACTGTCACCACAGTCACGAATCAATCAGACACAGTGAGGCCAGTAGCAGGAAAGATACATGATAAATAAATCAACAAACCCATAACACACCAAACGGCTGAGAACAGAGCAGAGGCTAAAAGCTATGGGGCTCCTTTAGATAATGTGGTCAGGAGCCCAGAGGGGATGTAACTGTTGAAATGCATCACTTCAAAATTCCTATGTTGAAACCCTAACTCCCAGCACCTCAAAATGTGACTGTATTTAGAGAGAGGGCATAAGAGATGATGAAGTTAAAATGAGGTTGTTAGGGTGGATACTAATCTAGTAGGACTGGTGTTCTTAGAAGGGATAAGGACACAGACCCATAGAGGGACACCTGTGAAGACACAGGGAGAAGGTAGCCATCTGCAAGCTGAGGAGAGAGGCCTCAGGAGACCAACCCTGCTGGGGCCTGATCTCAGAACCCCAGCCTCCAGAACAGTGAGGAAATCCATTTTTGTTGTTTAAGTCATGCAGACTATGGCGGCCCTAGCAAACTGATACTAGGTCCAGGAGAAGAGAACCCCTTCCATTACTTCTCCTTCTCCCTTTCCCCAAAGAGCTCCCATCTTCCACGAGGCATTCGAGAAGTGCCCAAGCAGTCTAATCTCACATTTTTAGTTAATCCAAAATGGAGCTATACCAGTAATGGGATAAATAGAGATCACGTGCCTCCTGACATGAGGCACTGAGGAGGACACGGCATCACTGCTGTGGTTTGTTTTGTTTCATTTTGGCCAGAAGCACAGAACGTGAATCTATTCCTGAGGAAACATCAGACAAATGCAAAATGGCCTGTACCTTTCACAACTGTCAAGGCTTTGGAAAATAAGCAAAGGCCAGGGAACCGGTACAGTTTAAAGAAAACTAAAGAGATGTGAAAATCAAGTCCATTTTGTAACGTTGGATTGGATCCTGAATCAGAACGAAAGTGGCTATCAACAAGGTGATGGCCGCCGAGATAAATTTGCATATAGAGTGCATATTAAATAATAGTGCCACACCAATATGAAAGTCCCCAAATTCAATCACTGTACTATGGGTTATGGAAGGGGCTTGTCTTTGCTTTTAGCTATTTAGGGGTAAAAGGGCAGATGTATCTGCAAGTTATTTTCAAATTATTTAGCATATGTGTGTGCATGCACACACACGTGTGCACACGTTTATAAAAATGAGAGAAAAAGATAAAACAAATTTGGCAAAATGCTACAACTGGTGTATCTGGCACATGGAAATTCTTGTACTATGTTTGCAACTTTTCTGGAAGTTTGAAAGGATCAGAAAAACAAAAAAATAGCTTGACAAAATTTCAGCCAGAAAACAAACCCCTGAGCAATTATAGTTAACCCATTACATTCTTGCAGTAAGGAGTCCGGGCTTTCTGAACTACAAGGCACAGCTCACAAATCCTGGGGCAGGGGAAGTGCCATGGCTGGGGCACAGCAGTGCGGGCTCCTCTGGTCCTAAGACTCTCCCAGCTGGGGAGCCTGATGGGGTGAGAGTGGGCCGATCCCACTGTCTGCAGGTCAGAAAGGGACGGCAGAGCCCTAGCACCCAACTCGGTGGCACATGTGACACTCTCCACTTGGTTCTGGGACAGGACTTCCCAATGCAGTTCCCCGCTCAGTCCTGCTACAACATCTGACCCACAAAGGTAGCTCAGGGAAACCAGAAGAAATTTTCCAAATTCTGGCGGTCATTGGACTATGAACATTTGAAAGATAATTTTCTGGGGCGCCTGGGTGGCTTAGTCGGTTAAGCATCCGACTTTCGCTTAGGTCATGATCTCGCGGTTCGTGGGTTCGAGCCCCGCGTCGGGCTCTGTGCTGACTGCCAGCTCAGAGCCTGGAGCCTGTTTCAGTCTGTGAATCCCTCTCTCTCTCTGACCCTCCCCTGCTCACGCTGTCTCTCTCTCTCTCCTAGAAATAAATAATAAAAAACATTAAAAAAAAAAATTAAAAAAAAAAAAAAGAAAGATAATTTTCTGAGTGATATCGGAATGTTATTCAGGGAAGAGTGCTGGTTGCAGTTTCTTCTCAACAACACAATTCTCTCATTCTCAGGAGGGCTGCAGGCTGAGCCAAATCTACTAGGTTTAAACCTGCTGACACTTCATACAGGGAGAAATGGGGTGGGGGATTCAGAAACGGTGGTGCTGCACTAATACAGCCTCCTGCTTTTTGGCTATGGAGAAAGGGGTTTCATATAACAGGAATCTGAGCAAAAGAGGCAAAAAACTTCACGTGTTTCTTGTATCTTTATTCCAGCCTGGAGTCCAAGGTACCTGCAGCCCAGGGCAGTAGAGAGAGGGGACTGCCAACAGGAAGGTCACACCTCAGAGCAGATCACTCAAGCCCAGGTGCAAACCAAGGCAAGGACTGGGTCTGGGCCAACTGGGCGTCTGGGCAGCCCATGGGGCTGTGCTCTGTGTACTTGGAGGGGGCCTGTGACCTTGGGCCACCTCTACCCCTGGGGCACTGGTTTCCCTTGGGAGCACAAAGGCTCCAAGGAAAAAGCATGTGCACAGGGTGCCTGGACAATCTGGTCTCAGGATTAGAAATCCTTAGAAGTAGAACCTCTGTCACAGGGTCCCACCTGGTACCTGCCTTCAGTGGCACTCCCAGGACAGCTGCTGGTCTCCTCTACCCAGAATCCTTTCTCCCACAGACTCCTCTTAAAGAAACCAATTGGTTGCACACTTTAGAACTGCAAAATAGGTGGGGACTCCTTTCCACACACACTGAAACTTTGTATATTGGAAGACAGACATCAATCCGACAGCTCTCAGGTTTTCTCCTTCCCGAGTCCCTTGTTTCCTCCTTTTGGAGAAGTTTTACTTGACCCAGGTCTTGCTTAAATATGCACTTCGAGCCAGTGCCTCTCCTGCATGTGGCCTGGCCAGTGCCAAGGGGCCTGCCACAGCATCTTTCATCTGATTGCTAGGTTTTATTGGTCCCATTGACTTTCTAAACACCATATCCTTGGCTCCTCTTGGGTCCTGTGGTCAGCAAACAGCCACAGAGGCCCCTGACCTGCCTTCACAGTGGGCCCCTTCTGTCCCGACAGGGTGCTTCTGCCTCTGGGACCTGAACTGGGACCCACAGCCACCTCTGCCATAAGGATTCCTTGTCAGTATGGGCTCATTAAGCCCTTTCAGAAATTCTTCTTCTGTCACCCTATACCACCTGCCCTTTAGTTTTATGACCCTTGGAGGCAGCAGGAAAGGCCCTCCTTTTGAAGACAAACCAGGATTACAGTCCCAGCAAGTGACCCATAGTTCCTCAGGCTTCTCACCCCCTCAGTGGTAAGGACAGGACCTGCCTTATGGTAGCTGCCTCTCAGCTAAGGGGAGATGGGTACCCATGGGCTCCCTTGTGCTCTGCTACTCAGGAGCTAAACCACCTCTCATTGCAAGGCTGTGCTTCAGTCCACACTCTGCAGTCAAACCACCCTGCCCCACATTTCTTCAGGCTGTCCATACGAACCAGTCTTGATTTCTACAAGGCATGAGGGTGTCATTGTCAAAGTCAGCATTGAATATGCCTACTGGTTCTGAAAACAACTGCTGGAAGGAACTAAGGTGGGTTTTCTCCACCTCTCTCTGCCAGGGCCCTCCTTCAGGCTCCAGGGGTACTTTTCCCACTACCTCAATTTTTACTGACCATATCTCCCTTCCCCACACCACTTAAAAAAAATTCTCCAACGATACCTGGCTGGCTCAGTTAGTAAAGCATGCAACTCCTGATCTCAGGGTTGTGAGTGTAAGTCCCATGTTGACTGTGGAGCCTTAAAATAAGGGTGCAGTATCCCAGAGCCCTTGGCAACACAGGCCCACAGGTCAAGGGAGAGGCTTGACCCCTGCAGAGGCATAAGCTGGGAGGCTGCTGTGTACCTGTTCCGAGTCACTCACCAGCTTCTGGAATAGGTCACCCACTCGCTGCTGGTGACTCCACTGCTGTACTCGGGGAAACAGCCCATCATAGAACTCCTTGTGGATCTCGTAGAGCTCAGGCACTTTGAAGAAGATGGTTTCGATCTGTTGGCTTGTCAGCACCGGCTGAGAGGTGGTGGCAGCAGCCTTCAAAGGCTTCATGGGCTAGAAGAGGGCATAAGTGAGGCAACACGGGTGACAGGAGGAATGGTACATATGAGAGGGCTCGCCCTTTCTCAGGTGCATGGTGTGACCACAGAAAGTCATGGTTACATGACACGTGTGCTTTTATTTTTGAATTTCATTAAAAATAATGTAAAGCCAGCTTGGTTTGGCACCTGTCTTACATTAGTATCCATTACCCCACGGGGAGGCCCAGCTTCTACAGAGGTGAAGTTTCTGACCCTCTGGGGTCATCTCCATGACTCCGGGAAAAGGGACTGCCTTCTGATGGCTGACCTGGGGCCTGTGAGCAGAGTGTCCCTGCCCTGCTCAGGCCCTCCTCACTCCTCACCAGCAGCAGTGCCTCCAGGTGGCTCAGGTAAGTCTCCTCGCTAGCCAGGATTCCAGACAGCACCCATTTCCTCATCTCCAAGCCCTTTTCCAGGTCCAGCTCATTCTGCAGGAAAAACAGACAGAGGTCAGACCGGGGGACGATATCCTGGGTAGCCCCTCTCAGAAAGGCCTGTTTATCAACCTGAGGACAAGCCTCTGGAGAAGGCTCCATGTAGAAATAAAGAGAGGCACTGGAGCCTCAGCCAGTCAACCGTTCGCTCGCTCAGGGTCACTGAAAATTCTGGAGGGGTCACCCAGCAAAGCCGAGGGCCACCCTTTGTCTTGACACTGAGAAATGGGCAGTGTGAAGCTGGGTAGTCAGGGCAAGATGCCCCAGTCTGTGGGACTCTGTTACAACTGCCCAGAAAACAAACAGAAAATATTGATGCCAAAGGCAATAAAAACTGCTGTATGACTTCCTGGCCACTTCCCCCATGAGTCAGTTGGGCATCTGGGCAGCCCAGGGGGCTGTGCTCTGTGCACTTGGGAGGGGACCTGTGACCTGACCACTAGTGAGACAGTTGGTGTCAGGGGTTGGCTGTGCCCACCGCCTACCATTGCTCCCTCTGCCTAGTCCTGTGCGAACGGGGCCGCACTGCAGTCCTCGGAAACTGAGACAACACCCCTGCCCATTCTGCCACTCATTTCCCACCTGTGGGTGAACACAAGACAACCACACTGTGGCAGCCCTTGGGTGTAGAACGAGAGCGCTACCGCTTCGGTCCACATTCGTGAACCACTCAGGGGAGATTGCTGATCTGTGGCAGTTTCCTGGTCCTCAGCACTGCTGACATCCAGGGCTGGAGGATTCTCATTTGGATGCTGGGGGCCCTGAAGGGTGTTGGGCAGCATTTCTGGTTTCCACCCACAGGTGCCAGTAGCAACACCCATTACTACCCCGAGCTGGGACAGCCACAAACATCTGCAAGATGTTGCTACATGTCCTCCGGGGCCAAATTGCCCCTAGGTGAGAACCACTGGGTTCCAGGAAGGACCTAAGGCCAGCTCAGGCCTCACAGTGTCTCTACAGAACCTAGAATCAGGACCTCCCCAGTATGGCCCCTCTGTGTGCCCCCAACCATGCTACCCTTTCCACTTCCCTGGAGTGGAGGAGGGAGGCACTTGGTGATACAGATGGCCGGCCTAGCAGGAAGAGTCCAGGGCCAGGAGTTGGGGAACAGGGCTACAGAGCCAGGCTTGCCTGGTGAGCCCCAGTCTCAGGCAACTGCCCTCTTGCCCTGAGCATCAGCTTCCTGCGTTTAAACTGGAAAAGCAAGGCCTGATCCCCACATCCTCTCTGCTTCTGCTTTCAGGGTCCCTGAGGTTTGTATCACATCCTCACTGCCCACTGGAACCATACAAAAAGTCTTCCTGAACCACCACTTTGCTTTGGGAATCTCTAAGCGTGCATGAGCTAGGTGCATGCATATGCGTATGTGTATACCCAAGGATGTGCATGTACTCATGCATGCATACAAGTCAGCCACCAAGATCACGGCTAAGTATCACTCCAGGGAAAGGTACCACTCCACACAGAACCCTCTCCCCACCATGGCACACTGGGCAGTGGCTTCACAGGCAGAAATCTCCAGAACATGCTGTGCCTGATCTTGAGACATCCTGTCCCAGCACAGTGCCTGGAACACATAGGTACTCCGTGAAGATACAATGAACAAATAAACCAACGAATGAATGCATCTAGAACTCCTGGTTGAGCCCTAGTTTGGCTGTACCTTTGCAAAGCTCTGAGTGCTCCTTCTGGAACCTTGCGCTGTTTACCAAGCAGGTGCCAAGATCCAGAACTGTTAGCTTAACCTGCTCCAGGGCCCGGAGTGCCACCATAGTCAGCAAGTCTGGGACATAACAGTGCACAGTCGTGCAGGGTGGGGGGCGCTGACACCTCCTCTCATCTCAGCTCACTGAGGCCATACCATTCATGTGGCAGCCCGCTGGAGAAGCAGCTCTCAGGTGACCCTGAACGTGCTTCCCACTGTGTCCAGGTGCCATTTGTTCCCCAAGCAAGGGAAGAGGTAGAGGTGAAGGGCACAGCAGGCTCCTTGGGCAGAACAGCCAACCACCTGACCCTGCTGTGTGCTGAGGAACAATCCTGCTACTATGAGTGCTGGTGGGGGTTTGGGGGTGTGATGGAGCCCCACCCAGCACAAGATGCCGGTGCTCACGTGGGTGGCAGTGCGTCTCATTCCCACCCACACAATTTGGAAAGCTGGGAGGAAAAAGAGAGCAGGCAGGAAGGCGCCGACTCCAGCTCTCCCTGTTCCGAAGGGTGTGGCCAGCTCAGGGGAATGTCTGGCCCAGGGAATGTGCTGGTCTGGGGAGAAGACACGGGTGCAGACACCTCTCCTTGGATCAGGAATCCTCCCCTGAACCCCAGAATGGTACTGGGGGCTGGTGGCAGACATGGACAGCTCAGATGTCAGCCAACTCCGCTTTGTTGGAGAGGGCGGGAAAGAAATGCAGAAGACAGAGAACAAAGGGCAGGGCCAGGACCAGGGTTATTTATAACCCTGCCTTGCACACATGCCAGTTCTGGAAAGGGCACGTGAATCCAGTTGGGACCTTGACGGTGGGGTGCTCTTGGTGGAGAGGAAGCCAGAGAAGGGCAACTGGAAGAAGAAGGCAGAAAGCCAGAAGGAAGGCCTCTGCTCAGGCCAGGGCAGGGGCAGAGGGCAAGGAATGGGGCAAGTCACACAGACATGAGGCAGACAGAGCAAATAAAAACTGGTCATGACAAGGTGGGAAAGCTAACAGAGGGACCCAGGTAAACAGAACTGCCACGAGGCCCACACGGGCAGGAGCTGGAACTGAGTGGCAGGAATATAGGTAGCAGGGCAGAATTGGGGGGAGTATCCTTTACCCCCAGCCCCAATCTCGGGGAGCCAGGGTGATCAGAGTGCAAAACCCTGGCTGTGAAGGGGTGGGCTGCTCCCAGCTGGGAGTTAACAGCTGGGTCTCTCGACAAAGGACCTTGTCTTCCTCTCTGGGCAGGGGCCATGCCTTCACTGGCAAGATGGCTGGCCACTGTCCTGGAGCCCAGCCAGCAGAGGGCCAGGGGGTGGCCTCTGCATAAGGACCTGAGCTTGGGAGCTAACACGCAATGTAGGCAGTACAATCCTTGTGCCTGCCCACTGATAAACCAACCTGGGAGGGCTCTCAGGAGTAAGCATAAAGGCCAGGCTGGTACCAAACATCTGCTCTCCCCAACTCTGCAGGGAGGACAGGTGTGAGCAAACATTAGTCCTATTTAAGTCAGGACCCAGAGCCGGGCAATGTGGCCACACTGAGCCATAGGGACGCAGGCAGCATTTATCCTGCTTTGCCTGTTGCTGAGCCTCACTGGGGCACTGGAACAATCAAAGCGTCCCTAACCAGTGAATCATAAATGTGAATGAACTTGTGATTGCTCAGATAACAGCTTGACTCAAGAGTTACAATTTCTGTTCCACAAGCACAATTATTGATCTTGATCGGATATACTGAATGTGGTGATGGCCAGAATTAAAGTTACAAAGCAGGGCTGTTGTCTTCAAACATTCCTGAGCCAGCGTTGAGTCCCCTTGTAAAAGATGCATATTTCACTTGCATTCAATCAGTAGGAGTGACTAATTGAACATGTGCATATGCTTTGGCTTCTGCCTAAAAAAACAAAAACCCACCCCAAACAAAAAACCCCCCAAAGGGTCCATGAGCTCCCAAGGGGCTGAGGCACCATGTGGGCATGGCCATTTCTTCAGAGAGCAGAATCCAAGTGTGTGTTTTACTTTCTCAGCCTCTACATGCCCACGAGAGGCCCCTGGCTGCCTTCTTCATCCAGCTCCACCACTCACCGAAGGGGCCCTGAATGTGAGAAATGTGGGCTGAGGTGGTATCAGCCTCTTCTTGCTGAGGTCCAATGTTTCTGGGCCTGCCCCTTGCTTGTACCTGGGGACAGGGCCTGGCAGGTCACTGTGAGAAGCAATGTCACACAGCGTGTCACAGAGCCCAGTGAGCAGGGGCTGCTCGACCACTGTCGGCTCCCCTCTCTGTGCCTCGACATCCCCCATTATAAACATCGCTCCCCTCTCTGTGCCTTGACGTCCCCCATTATGAACAAACAGGTACGATGATGCTGGGACTCTTGAGGACCCTAGGAAGGAGTGACCATGCTGATCTGGCAGAACACAGGCCCTGACACTGCTGACCCCAGGATGGCGCTGGGGGTGATGCTGGACCCTCACCCCTTTCCCTAACTCTGTTGGAGGAAGGTTACTTGCTAGCCCACAGTTCTGACTACAGCCTCCAGGAGTGTCCATGATACTGCCTTGCTTCCCTCAGTTCGGTGATGTCAGCTTTGTCCTCCTAGCAGAGAGAGGCAGTGGTCATCAAAATGACCTGCTCTTCTTCCAAGGAGCTTGCTAAGACATATCGTCACCTAGCCGTGAAGAGATGGAGGATGTGTGCCTGATGGCTCTTGCCTGGGGGCAGCCTGCCCTCTCCTGCGGCTTCTGTCCCCATCTGGGATTGCACGGGCCATCGTTCAAGGGGGAAATGCAGACAGCTTGGTCAAGATCAGTAGGCACCTCAGAATGTCCAGGGGTGGAGAATGTCATAAGCCCTCAGGGTTGGAAGGTAACCTTGTGGTCACCAGGACCCACACAGGGTGGCCTGAGTCTTTCCCACAGCATCCCAGGCAAGGGGGTTCCTGGCCTCTGCGGACTCCCTATTTTCCCCTGGGTACAGGCATTCATGAAGCAGACCTGCAACTTTGGAGTTCACCAAGCCACCTTGCTGCCATGGAGTCCCTAGAAGGTTCTCCTGATTGCCCCCCAGCCCAAAGAGCTCAAGCTCAGTAGAGAAAGATGAGCACCCCCTGGGAAGGTAGGGAAAGATGAGCAGGGACTTCCCCCAGCCCAAATGGTTGGGATTGGGCACCTTGGGCTCAAGACCAGCTTGTTGCCTATGAGCATTAGAAAATAAGAGCTGTCTTCTTGAAACCAAAAGTAGAAAAATAAAGAGGAAAGTCTCATTGTCCAGGTACTGCACTGGCAGGGAAACCAGAAAGTCAAAGCCATGTCTGTCTCCAGGGCAGTGGAGGGTGTCTACCCGAGGGATCCAAGGACCTAACCAGAGGGCTCTGGAACAAAGCTACACAGCCCTTTTTCAAACAAATTCCTATCTTACCACCTCACATCCATTAGAATAACCACTATCAAAAAACAAAACAAAACAAAACAAAAAACCCCAGAAAACAAGTACCGGCAAGGATGTGGAGAAACCAAAACTCTTGTGTGCTACTGGTGGGAAAATAAAATGATGCAGCCACTGTTCCTTGAAAAATTAAAAAGAGAACTACCACAGGATCCAGCAATTCCATTTCTGGGTCATTCATCCAAAAGAACTGAAAGCAGAGTCTCGAACAGATATTTATACACCCATGTTCACAGCACCATTTTTCTTAGTAGCCAAAATGTGAAAGCAACCCAAGTATCTACCAACCAATGAATGAATTACCAAAATGCAGTATATAAGTACAATGGAATATTATTCTGCCTTAAAGAGGAAGGGAATTATTCTGCAATATGCTACAACATGGATGAATCAAAGACATTACGCTCGGTAATAAGCCCATCACAAAAAGATGAATACTGTGTGAGGTGGAGTAGTTAATACATTGAGACAGGAAGTAGAATGCTGGTTTAAAGGGGCTGGAGGCAGGGGAGAGTGGGGAGCTGTTTAACAGGTGCAGATCTTCAGATTTACGAGATGAAGAGTTAGGACAGTCCTAATGGCTGCACAACAAGATGAATGCATTTCATGCTACTGAAATGCACACTTCAAAAGGGTTAAGATGGCAAATTTTACTTTACCTGTATGTGAATGCAATAAAAAAGAAAAGAGGGGCACCTGGGTAGCTCAGTCGGTTAAGTGTCTGACTTCGGTTCAGGTCACAATCTCATGGTTCACGAGTTCAAGCCCCACACTGGGCTCTGAGCTAACAGCTTAGAGCATGGAGCCTACTGCAGATTCTCTCTCTCTCTCTCTCTCTCTCTGCTCCTCCCCCGCTCACACTCTCTCTCTCTCTCAAAAATAAATAAACATTAAAAAATAAAAAGAAATGGGGCTCCTGGATGGCTCAGTTGGTTAAGCATCCGACTTTGGCTCAGGTGATGATCTCATAGTTCGTGGGTTTGAGCCCTGCATCGGGTTCTGTGTTGGCAGCTCAGAGCCTGGAGCCTGTTTCAGATTCTGTGTCTCCCTCTCTGCCCCTCCCCTACTCATGCTCTGTCTCTCTCTGTCTCAAAAATAAAAATAAATTATAAAAAAAGAATTTAAGGGGCACCTGGGTGGCTCAGTCGGTTAAGCGTCCGACTTTGGCTCAGGTCATGATCTCACGGTTCGTGTGTTCGAGCCCCGCATCGGGCTCTGTGCTGACAGCTAGTTCAGAGCCTGGAGTCTGTCTTCAGATTCTGTGACTCCCTCTCTCTCTCACCCTTCTCTGCTCACACTGTATCTATGTCTCTCTCAAAAATAAATAAAAAAACATTAAATAAATAATTTACTTAAAAATTTAAAAAAAAAAAAGAAAAGAAAAAAAAGGAAACTTTCCCATCTTCTCCACACACTCCCCGACACCTCCTCTGGGCCAGGTGGCATGCTTGGGATTGGAGACCCCATCCCTGGCAAGCAAAGATGTGTAAAATGAGACATGTCCCATGGGGGCCAAAGGAGGGAGTGGGACCAGGATGTGGACAGGCTCCATAGCAGGTAAGCCCACACACTACAGCTAAAAGGTAAGGGTAGAACTCCAAGTCAGTGTAGATGAGGGTCCAAAGGCAGGAGTCTGGTGGGGATAGGCAGCGAAGCTGCATGGGGTCTGGGCACAGGAGGGTAGATCAGCCTCCTAGAGCAGCTCTGTGCCAAGTTCAGGACTCAGCCTGCTTATTCAGGACTGGAAAGACCCCGGTGTGTACCAAATCATGCTCATGAAGCAGAATGCAATGGAGTGCACTGAGAAAGGCAAAGTAGTTGAAGAAAAGAGTGTCATCTGAGGATTTGAGAAGGCTTCAAATCTGGTAGCTGTGTGGCCTTGAGCAAGTTACTTCACCTCTCTGAACCTCAGTTTTCTAATCTGTAAAACAGTGAAACCAGATGTTAGATCAAAAGCTGCACAAGGCAGCTTTATGTTACACACTGGCTTCCCTTCCCATCCTCGCCTTTCAGAATGAGAAGCCTGCCCAGTGCCAGAGTGTTTAGAAATCACAAAAGCATACATAAATAAGAAGCAGTCCTGCCGCTAAGGCACCAGCCCAGCAGAAAAGCAACTGCAGTGAAAAGATACACTTCTGGCGCTTCCTACCAACAATGGAGAAAAACAGATTCCTCTCTTGTATCTAATCCTGGGAGGACATCATCAGAAACAAGCTAAGCAAAAGAGGGAACGTATCTATCATGAGGGGCAGCAGGACCATGAGGACAGTGAGGTGCAACCCGCCTCAACGACAGGGACCTCAACTCAAGGAGAAAAGAACCTGAGAATTCAAAAAGACACCCTTAGTCCCAAAGGTAGGGGGTGCATACCTGGGCCCTAATGTACCTCTGAAGTGCCCCTCCTGGGCAATGAAACAGATCAACACAGTGAGGCCACAGCCCATGTGGGACTGCTTCAGGAGCCTGCAACAACCCCGGGGCTATGTACTTACAAGAGAGGGGCCCAGGGGCATCTCTGAGTATGAAGGAGGGCATCTGCGGAATGTGTCACTACACACTAGCCTTGCAGCTGGGATTCCAAAGTGGAGGTGACATCAGGACTGTTAATGACAGTGATACCTCAAGGGAAGACCCTGGTCAAATGGACGGAGACATCAGCAGCACTTTTTCTGGTAAAAAAGGAGCAAGAGCATTGCACGCAGCGCAGGGATGAGAACCCAGACACTGTCCCCCTCCCCCGCCCCTCAGCACCACTGCTGGGACCACCACCACGTCCTGCTAGTAGGACAGTGGTGGCATTCTCAGCCTCAGCATGTGCTGCCTGTCTCCTCCACACCTGGCTGACAGAGTTCCATGAGGTCCCTGCTCAAAGCACCTAGCAGGCTGTCTCCAAATCAGCAGGTGCCCCAGATGGGGAAATGAAGAAGGTGTTTTGTCTCTTGTTTTTTTTAATGTATTTATTTATTTATTTTTTTTTAACATTTCTTTTTTTTGAGACAGAGAGAGACAGAGCACTAGCTGGGGAGGGGCATAGAGTGAGGGAGACACAGAATCTGAAATGGGCTCCAGGCTCTGAACTGTCAGCACAGAGCCCAATGCGGGGCTCAAACCTATGGACCGTGAGATCATGACCTGAGCCGAAGTCGGACGCTTAACCAACTGACCTACCTAGGTGCCCTGAAGAAGATGTTTTTAGTGACTTCAACCACTGGTTGCTCCTGATATCACCTACTTGCTACTTGCCCCCAAGAAAATGGATGTGCTTCAGGGCACCTTTAGGAAGTGGAGAGCAGGCAGGAGCCAGGCCTAACCCTTATTTCACAGCTGGCCCTCCCACCCTGGCACTCACCGCTTTGGTGGACTCCAGGGCTCCCGAAGCCAGTGCATCCCGGCTGCCCCTGCCCTTGCTGCTAAGGTGGGGTGAGGAGGAAGGTGAGTCATCGATGTAGGGCAGCCCATCTTGGTGCCGGCGCTGCTCCTCAGCCCGGTCTGCAGCACAGCCGTAGCCAGGTGGCGTTCCAAACGAAGTATCTGTGTGTGTAGAGAAGCAGCTGTGTTAAGAGAGAGGGAGAAGGGCCAGGGGAAGGTCTGCCTGGGAGGGTCCACACCCCACCTGACCCAGCAGGCATTGGGCTGATGCTGTCTGTCACCCAGAGGTGTTGAACAAGGACTTCAGATAGGCTGATGGTACCTTCACAACTAACTGAGCAAAGACCACAGGGCGAGGCGGGGCCAGAACAGTGGTATGCTCCCCAGACAATATGAGACTGGGCTTTCAGGACACTGTCTGGGACGTATCTACACTTGTCCTGGGAGTGGGCCTAAGCCATTACAAAATGGTGGACCCCCAAATGCTAGCATCGGGAAGGGTCCTTGAGCACCTGACCATGGGGACTTGATGGGGGTGAGGAGCTCAGATCATGCTGCTCCAGGCACAAGCCCTGGTCAACGTGAGCAGTGCCCCAGGCCAACCAGTCCTAACCCGGGGAAAGGGTGCTGCAGCCCTCTCCCCTTACCCCACCCTGCTCTTTTGCTGACTCTCAGCCCACCTCTGAGCTGGTCTGGCAAAGTCCCAGACCACCTTTACCCCAATCTGAGCATCCCTGTGAACAAAGAGTAGCTTACCCTATGGCAGGCTCCCTGCTGTTTAGAACTATCCAGTTAGAGAGAATAACACCTCCATCCTAAAAGCACCTGAAGACAGTCACCCCCTTCCTTCCTGGCTAAATCACAAAGCCCACACCCCCATCTGCCTTTCTGTAGCTCTGTTTTCAGAACTGATCTAATCCAATGGATCCTCACCAGGACATTAATTCACAAGGGCCCAGCCCACTCCAAGCCTCATATGAGGGTCACTTCTTGACTCTTAGGGCATCTTCTCAACCCATGGGATTTCTGAGGTCATCCTGACTGGGTTACATCACCTTCCCCATGACTAACCAGCAAGCAGCCCTGTCCAAACATCACCACCACAGGGAGCCTCTGCAGTGTTTATCAGTTTACAACTTCTGCCACCAAGCACACCCAGCCTGGGGCTCAAGCTCAAGCTCTAGGTAGCACTACACCACCTAGGCCAGGCAGGCACAGACTTCCAGAGTGGACCCCCTAGTTCTCATGGGAGGACTGTTTCCAGTTCTTTCCATGCAGCAGCCGAGAGGACCCATGGCTGGAGCGACCAGGTGCTCACCACACCCAGCTATGATGGCTGCCAGTGCACTGTGCGACTCATCTGCCTATGTCCCAGCTTCCTCGCACAGCTCTGCCTCTCCCACATTCTCTACTTCTGTGTCCCGGCGGGTCACATGCCCTCTAACAGGTGTCCTGAGCCCTGGTTACATGTTAGTGCCACTGGGGGGCTTCAAAAACAGAGACCAACGAAATCAGATGCTCAGGGAGATCTGGGCCCTAGTGGCTGCAACGGCTTCCTGGGGGTTCCTGCAGGAGCCAGGACTGAGACTGCTGAACTAGCACAAGCTGGGATCTGCCACAGTGCTGGCTGTCACCCACACTGTGTCCCTGCTATCTGCGTACAGGCGCTGACCACAAAGGCCAGGCCGAGCTCTGCTGCCGTGTGTGTCCACAGGAGGGCTCCAACAGAGGCCAATTCTAAGTTGAAAGTGGCAGACAGGGTAGGGGACACTCCGAGCTCGGTGGGCTCCTCCTTTGTTCCCTAACAAGCTCCATGTGCTACCGAGGAGCTCCTGGTACCATCACCATGTTGGTTATCAATGCTCAGCTCTGCTGGGGTTTGTAGTGTCCTACCAGGACAGTTGGAGGCCAAGGCCAAGTTCTGCCTCCTCTTCCCAAGAATCTCCAAAGGCACTGAACTAGCTCTTGCCCAGCATCCCTAAGGACAGATGGGGAGGATTTAAATGTATTAAAAAACACAAAACCCTGTTAACAAAGAACCATAACCTCATACCCCAGCCCCAAAACAGGTCTGACTTTAGCTTCCACTTCCTTTAGGGGAATCACAGATTTTTTTAAAAATTTTTTTTAATGTTTTATTTATTTCTAGCAGAGAGAGAGAGACAGCGTGAGCAGGGGAGGTTCAGAGAGAGAGAGTCACAGACTCTGAAACAGGCTCCAGGCTCTGAGCTGGCAGTCAGCACAGAGCCCGACACGGGGCTCGAACCCACGAACCGCGAGATCATGACCTGAGCGAAAGTCGGACGCTTAACCAACTAAGCCACCCGGGCACCCCAAGATTTTTTTTTTAACCAAAATTAACATGGAGGGCTTCTTGTCTCCTCAACATCCATGATATAAGTCCTGTATCACAGCAGCCCCTCCTGACAGCTTGCCTTCCAGGGGAGCTTCTTCCAAAGACAGCTCAGGCCTTGGACAGAAGGTGTCAGCTGTCAGTCACCTTCCTCACAGGTAGCCTCAATGACCCCCTGGGCCAGGAGTGTCTTAGCTCTACTTCTACAACCCAGGACACATCCTTCAGCCGGGGCAGGTGGGCCAGTTCTATGAGCTGTGGTGTGAATTTCCCAGAAGTGGGGCTCTGGCCCTGCCCAGGTACTACCTACTAGTGAGAATCAGTACAGGTCACTTAAGATGTCTGTGTCTCAATTTTCCTGACTTTAGAAGCAGGCGTGTGAACTATACAGCCGATAGAGGCCCACTCAGCTCTAAAATGTTACAGTCACTGTGAGGGTCAGCCAGCCATGCCCTCTCTACCTCCCGACCTCACCTCTTTCAACAGCTTCCTTCCTCTGCTCCTCACTCCTCCTCTGGACTCGGCTTTTACATTTGCACAGAAATTTTGGCATCCACACATCCTCTAAGAACTTTAAACTGCTGATTTTTTTTTTGTTGTTGTTGTTGAAATAATGACCTTTTAAAAAGTCAACATATTCGTTACCTGGAAGAGCACCCTTAATCTGAGAACCACTACCTGATGTCCCAGCCTGTGACTACATTGAGCTCACTGAGCTCATGTCCAAGATCAAATTAATACCAACTGAGGACCCAAGTAAGAATTTTAAGGTCAGACTCGGGGCTCATTCCAAAGACTGTAAAGATTCCACGTTTGTGACACAAAGTGTTAGCTTAGCAATGTCCTGACTAAAACCCAGAGCAAATCCAAGTGCCTGGTAAAGGTTTGCTGGCTGGGGGTGTGTGGGGTTATTGACTCTGATGTGGCCACTCCACCTCCACCAGGTGAGGCTGAGAAACCAGGTTCCACAGCTGAACTCCACAGGGTATCATTATGACGAGCAGGCAACTAAAAACCCAGCTGTTTCCAATTCTGTATACAGCTCTCCAAACAGATGTCTGAGGAACTGATGTTTTTATGTCTGGATTCCGAGAGGCTGGTCACTGCTACTGCTACATTCCACCTGAGGCTTCAGCCCACTGTCCCAGCAAATCCAGCCTGCTCCAATGCAAATGAGACAGGGAGGAAGAAAAGTTCTTTCTTGCTGCCCACCCTAAGTGGCACACAGGGACTAACTTTCACACTGCAGTTTTTTCACTCCTAGGATCCCCACACCTTTTGGATCATAAAGTATATGACTGGGGGGCTCTGGGAGCTGCCATTTCCCAAGAACCAGAGCAAAGTTAGAAAGGGGCCTTGCTCTCCCCTCCTCTACCAGGAACACCCAGTGGGAAGTCTCATTATCTCGAAGGACTGGGCACCCAGTGGTCAAGTGAAGCCCAGAGCTTCCTACAAAGTTTTAACCAAAGCTGAAAGCAAACATTGGTTTCAGAGGCAGGGTTTGGGGGTGGGGCGCTACAATCCCAAGGCTGCAAGAGACTCAGGGAAATGAGGGCTGATGAACAGAGCTGCTAAACAGTGGGAGGAGGGCGGGGGAGAGCGAGGCCCATTCAGAGCTGGCAGACAGCGGCAAGCTGAGTGTGGAAAAGGGATGTGCACAGTGAAATCCAAAACCTCCTTCTCTCCAGGCAGGTGGGCTTAGCAGCCACAATCCCTGCACTCTGCAAACCTAAAATCTAGTTTGATGCAAGAACAAAAGGCAGCCACCCCCACCCCCACAAAGTGGGAGGAAAAAGTCCCAGTCAGCCCAGATCACATCCCCTCCTTATACCTCAAGGACAATGCTGGTTAAAAAAAAAAAAAAATCCTTCAAAAAAAAAAAAAAATCCTTCAAGAAAATTAAACGCAGAGTTACTATATGATCAAGCAATTCCATTTCTGCGTATATACTTTTTTAAGTATATAAATTGCAAGCAGGGTCTCAAACAGATATTTGCACACCAGTGTTCCTAGCAACAGTATTCACAAGAGCCAAACTGTAGAACCAACTCAAGTATCCACTGATGGGTGAATGGATAACCAAAATGTGGTATGGATATGCATTGGAATACTACTTAGTCTCAAAAAGGAAGGCAATTCAGACTCCATGCTACAACATGGATGAACCTTGAGGTCATGATGCTATGGGAAAAAAATGCTCAATTTACTGTGTGAGTCCACTTATATGAGGAACCTGGAATCATCAGATTCATAGAGCAGAATGCAGAATGGTGGGTGCCAGGGGCTAGAGGAGGAAGGAATGGGGAGTTGGTGTTTTGTGGGTACAGAGTTTCCATCTGGGAAGATGGGAAAGTTCTGAAGATGAATGGTGGTGATGGCTGCACAACAGTATGAATGTATCTAATGCCAATGAGCATGAGCAGTATGCTTAAGAATGATTAAAATGTTTCATCTGATGTTATGTAACAAGTATATACTACATGCAGACATTCTTAAGATCCCTCCCAGCCAGAGGCAATACTTGGGTAGCTGAGCTGTTGGGAGGTCACAAGGGCAGCCCCTCAACCCCTTCATGTAGACAGCCCCCCTGCAACCACATCTAAAATAAGCACAGAATGGGGTGCCTGGGTGGCTTAGTCGGTTAAGCGTCCGACTTTCGCTTAGGTCATGATCTCACGGTTCGTGGGTTCGAGCCCCGCGTCGGGCTCTGTGCTGACTGCCAGCTCAGAGCCTGGAGCCTGTTTCAGTCTGTGTCTCCCTCTCTCTCTGACCCTCCCCTGCTCAAGCTGTCTCTCTCTCTCCTAGAAAT